ACACATGTGATCTTTATATGAAGACCATTCGAATACTATGAGGATGACTTCATCAGGGATGAAGTATACATCCAAGTTTAGATGAAGACATAGAACTTCATCAAGGTCATGCAATATCCAACGTGTGGGAGCTTCTGTTGAATCTGGTTGCGCATGCCCGTGACGTCAAATCTCTATCGAAGTATAAAAATCTATGTTCGTGACGTGTATGGTGGCTCCAGTTGAACCAAAATCTTATAAATTTTTCATGAGTGTTTTAAGCAGTTCAAAAAACTCGTAGATCGTGTTTTATCAGGTATAAAAGCACTCGGCTACGCCTCGTGCTTTTATACCTGATAAAATACTCCTACTCGTTTTTTAAACACTACACATATTTATATGCAATTTTAAAGCAGAAGGACTAGATGAGCGGACCTTAAGCTTTAAGCTTAAGCTTTTTTGGTTACGGTCCTGCGTACGTTACGAACGGAAGTGGCCTTGAAGCCATCATGAAAAATCAATTCGATGGGTTTCTTTTTCTCAAGTATGGTGCTCCGCTATAACATGTAACGACGACGAAATTAATTTATGTTATAGAATATAAGACTGAGAATCCATGTTTAGTAAAAGCTCTTCTCAGTCAACTGCTCCCAGACAGTAGTTTAAGCCAGGAAGGCACAGCTCGACTTTTTCAGAAAAAGATTATGAACTGTTAATGCTGAATGTTAGCGCAAAAAAAGGTAGACATCATTGGAAAAAATTGCCCATAAATTTGGGATATTTGCTCTTTTCGGTCTTTTTCCTCTCTTTCCAATGCAAAAGGTTGTTCTTAAAAGTAAAGTTATATAGCACAACTGCGTGACAAAACATCCTAAATGATCTTTTCTTTCGCTAACCAATAGTTAAACTAATAGTCGAATACCGACCTCTACCTTGTGTCTTAACCCCTGATGATAAATACTTGGTACAGTAAACGATAAAGTATGTTGTACAATGTATATCGAGTTAAGAATAAAAGTGTTTCGATTGAAGGCAACGTTACGAAACATGAGCTCATGCGTCGCGTCGTAGTGTAGTAACACATACACAGGCCAACTTGGTGCGTCCCAGTCGTCTCGTTACACGTAGGGTTAAGCTTCTGGCGCTAGAAATTTTCAAACGCGTAGGTCGAATACTAACCTCTACCTTGTTTCTTAACCCCTGATGATAAATACTTGGTAGACCGAACGACTATCCCAGAGCTTTCATAGTTTTGTGTTGTATTCCCTACTTCACCGCCGCGACGCATGAGCTCATGTTTCGTAACGTTGCCTTCAATCGAAACACTTTTATTCTTAACTCRATATACATTGTACGATGTACTTAATCGTTTACCGTACCATTGCTACCTATCTACGATACACATCCATAATACTCTCATATACGTCTCGTACGCTCAACTGTTCCAATCACCCACTGCCTTAATATTTATTTATTTTATGCTATTTATTTATCTTTTCTTTTTCATCTTTTTTCTTAAAATCAATCATTTTTCACATACGTACCCCCACACCACCACCACCACCGCCCCCTCTGCTTGAGTCCGAATACCTGTGTCAAACATATTGTAGATGGGTTTTTAATACCTGATGAATCTATGTTTTTAGATTTAAACATATTTAATCACAACGTACCCCCAAGAGCAAAACACAAAATAAGGTATAATTCTTATTTAAACACAATAAATTAAAATATATTTGAAGCCGTGGAAAAAGGGATGCTCACATGAATTTGAAAGAAATAGTGAAGCTTAATTAAAGTGCATGCATATAACACCTAAGTCAATATATATTTTCAATTTTTACATCACACTCATTAACATATTGGAATAATAAACCTTGTTATTTTCAAGATGTATCATTCAAACCATCTAACAATATTTCATCATTTAACGATGCCTTCATATATAGAATTGATACCGTAAAATTGAGGTAATGGTTATAGGCACTTATAACGTCACTATATTTTACTTACAACAAGGAAAGACTTTTTTCTTAAAGATTTTGATCAATTTCCTCTTGCAGGTGATTTCTACTATTGAACTACTATTGTTAGAAATCATTCTTAGTACATAAACATACTTTTTCAAAGCTAGATGTCCTTAGCAAATTACCTGTCTTCCATATCATTTTTAGTTTCCGATTTGGTTTCCTTAATTTTGTTCTTTTGTAAACTTGTTGTGATGGCAATATTCAAAATTCACTGGTGAAGTTCTGAAAAACGAGCCCTCAGGAAAAAAACGCAATGATTTTAAACTCATACAAAAAGCGTTGAGTGTGTTTTTGTGGTTAGGTTAGAAATTAATTTTAGTACATAAACATATGTTTTTAAAAGTAGATGTCCTTAGCAAATTACTTGTCTTCCATATCATTTTTAGCTTCCGAGCTTGGTTTCCTTAATTTTGTTCTGTTGTAAACTTGTTATGATGGCAATATTCAAAATTAACTGAAGTTCCCAAAAAACGATCTCTCAGGAATCAGCGTTAAATTCTGTTCAAATTAGGTTTGTAAGTGCGCCCTTAAGGTTTTTTATTCACGAATTGTGAGGCGGCGAGTCTTAGAGCGAGTGATTAAGCAAATGGTATGTAAAAACACTTTTTGAGCTTGAAAGTCTAGTGCTGAAAGTATAACGGGTTCTCATCTTGATAAAATATTTTTTTCCGGTCGCGAAAAAAAATAACTAGAAGCAAAAGTTATCGACAGATACAAGCTAGCCTACGTTCAATTTAACTCCGCAAGAACAAGAGACATGCTTATGAATAAAAAACAATAACTTTCTTTGCCCCAGTAATTTGGCTTCGTTAATATCTTTAGAATATATATTTTTTGGGGGGTTTATTACGAGTTCAAGAACACGTCCCTCAACATCACAAATATTAACTCATTTTTTTCTAATCATAATAGCGAAAATTCTGTTATTGTAACATGTATTCCTTTTTACATTGAACATTAAAATAAATTCAGTAAGTATTTGATTTACCGATATAGGAAGCAAACGAAACTGTGAGAGTATAGACCAATACAACTTTGGGATAATATTCTTTTGATTGATGCTAACATTATATTCAGACTATGCCAACTAAATTTAAAGCAATACGTTATATAAATGTATATGTAATAGTCATCATCACCATCTGGTTTTAATTCTGGATCTTTTAGTTAATTAAGGTCCGCGTTTCTGCCTCTTTCTTACTGACTGTCATCTCAAGTGTTTTTGTGCTTTTTCTTATTCTTCATTTTTGTTCTATCCAATTTATTCTCCTTTTCATCTTCTTTTCCTTGTCGTTGTTCTTCTAGATCGATTTTTTCATCGTCATTTGTGATCATGATCTTCTCATGTTTCACTTTTGTCCGTATTCCCTATCAGATGTCCAACGGGCTACCTTTCCAGTGTGTCAAAAAATAAATTGAAATACTTAGATTATAAAATTCACAAATAAACAATCATTATAGCTTCTCGTAATTTCTTTTCTACTTCAGTTTCCGGAAACATCATGGATACCTTCTACAGTTGCCACAGTTTTCGGTGTCTCCTTGCTGTTTCCTGGTGCTGTTAGGGGTGTCCAGTGTCCAGTGTGTCCAGTGGTATCATGCCAGGAACGACTCGAGACTGTCGCCTCTCCCCTTTATTGAAGCAATTGCATAATATCTTCTTAAGCTCGTTCCAAAACTCTGGAATCTTCAAGGCATATATAGCCAAGTTGATGAAAGAGTTTCCAAAGATGAAGGCCTTTGTTGTCAATACTGCGTTGACAGAGAGAGTACAGGATGTGCAGAGTTCAAGGGTGGTGAGAACGATGTTGTGAGGAAGAACAGCAATAATGGATGTAACTGTTGCTATACACAATGTCCTGCATAGCTTGATTTGCCTCTGAGTGGAGTTGTTGTGCTGAAAAACTGGGAAAAATCTCAGTTTTATGTAGATGGCCACGTACGATGATACGAGAATCACAAATGAAGGAATTACCAAGATTAGCAGAAGAGATAATGTAACAAGTTTGTTGTTTATCGGGAGCGATTCGCACTGAGGAAGCAAGGATACGGAAGGAATACCACTGATAAGCCATATGAACGCAATCCCGGCGTTGTAGTACCTTGTTTTTGCTACACGATGACGAAAAGGCATAAAGATCGAACACGCTCTCTCAATGGCAATGAGTACGAGGGACATCAAGGAGGCCACAGTGAATAAAAGGAACAACGTTGCAAAGGCATCAAATAATTTATTTTCACAGGTCATAAAGGATTTTATCTCCGATCTTTCTAAGCTGATGATTTCATACCCAGAAAACACTGCTGAGATTCCTACAAGAAGATCAGCTACCGTAAGATTGATCAGCAAATAGCACGACCTGCACAAAAGAAACTTCCTCTTAGCAAAGACGCACAGAGCCAAGAAGTTGCAGAGGACGATGAAAAACGCCTCAAATGTGAAGACCACTGTCCAAGAAACTTGTTCAGTTTTAGAAATTTTTCCCTTCATTTTTCCAGAAAGCTAATACCCCTTTATCATTCTGGGTCTTGTTTTCTACATCTTCCCTAGTTTCAAAAGCGACTACATATGATATTTCCTGCTAATTAAACTTGTAAAATTATTTTTTTAACAAACTTTTTTTAGACAGCTATATTTCAGAAAAGCCTCTTTCACGTTCTTTCTTATTCCGTTCAAGTTCTGGAATTGTGCAGCAGCAAATGACGCTTTAATAAGTGTCTGGGTTTTTAATTATAAACAAAAAAATCCCTTATGTTTACATAGTCAACTATTTCATCTTAAAGTATTTGACAGTTTTATATTATCGATGGTAAACATTACATTAAAAATGGTTCTAAGCCGGGATGTTAGGAAATGAAACAGACTCGTAAAATCTTACTTTCTGGATAAATAATAATTTGAAAACATTTAGTGACTCTCCGTATTTGTGTAGTAACTTTTTCAACAGAAACACTAATTCGATTGCTATTGCTATTGCGTGAAATTTAACATAGGCGTTTATACTTAACATAGGCCTATCTAGGGGGCTCAGGGGTGCCTGTGACCCCTTTCAAAACCAAAGATAAATCATCTGACCGTTGATGCAGTATGTGATATGATGTCATAGTGACAATTTGGTATGTTGTAACCCCC